GGCTCAAATAGAAAGAAAATGCTTTGAAAATGATGATGGCATGTCTGTACAAATGTGCTTGACACAATAGCTGATTGTATGGATTGTGATAAGAGATGTAAGAGCCCCCAATAAAAGCATTTAATAAAAAATAACTGTTAAAAACATAAACTACACATCAGCATAGAGAGGATCCAACAGAATGCGTAAATTAACACATATCATTAATATCACATACACATAAAATTTTGCTGAAGCATATCAGGAAGATGTCTATTTGTGTTTTATTGACTAGGTAGAGATATTCAACTGTGTGGATCATAATAAACTATAGATAACACTGTGAAAAATGGAATTCCAGAACGCTTCATTATAGTCACACAGAATCTGTGCATGGACCAAGAGCCAGAAATTAGAAGAGAAAAATGAAACATTGCATGGACCAAAATCAGGAAATGTGATAAGAGTTGTACGAACTCCCAATAAAATGAGTTTTTAAAAATCAGGAAATGTGTCCATCAGGGCTGTATCCTCTATCCATTCTTATTCAACAGATATGCTGAGAAATTAATCTGAGAAGATGGACTATGTGAGAAAGAATGAGGCATCGGGATTAGAGGAAGGCTCGTTAACCTGCAATATGCAGATAACATAACCTTGCTTACTGTAATGTAGAAGAACTTGAAGCACTTGCTGATGAAGCTCAAGGACTGCATCCTTCAGTACGAATTGCAAATCAATGTAAAGAATATCAGAATTCTCACAACTGACCAATAGGCGAAATAATGATAAATGGAGAAAAGATTGAAGTCTTAAAGGATTTCATTTTGTTTGGATCCACAATCAATATTCATCGAAGCAATAGTCAAGAAATCAAATAACAATGCACTGGGGAAATTGCACAAGATTTCTTTAAAGTGTTGAAGAACACAAATGTCATTTTGAAGACCATGGTGCACCTAACACAAGCCATGGCATTTCCAGTTGTCTCATATGCATGTGAAAGTTGGACAATGAATAATGAAGACTACAAAAGAATTAATGCATTTGAAACAAGGTGTTGATGAAAAATACTCAAAGTACTGTGGATTTTCAGAACAACAACAAAATATCTGTCTTGGAACAAGGATAGCCAGGATGTTCCTTAGACGTGAGGATGGGGTAGTTTCCTGTCTTATGTACTTCGGACAGGTTATTTGGAGAGAACAGCCCTGGGAGAAGGACATCATGTTTGGTAGAGGGTCAGCAAAAAAGAAGATTCTCAAGAAGATGGATCGACACAGTAGCTGCTCAAACATAACAAGTTCAAACTTAACAACAATTGTGAGGATGGGACAAGACAGAACAGTGCTTTACTCTGTTATACTTTGCTGGAGCTGATTAATACCCATATGCAGTTAATACCTTTGGGTAGTGGATTGGGTGCAATGGAGGAAGAGAAGAAGTAAACTGCAAGGAAATAAAAAAACAACAAAAGCTGTTGCTAATTGCCAAAAATAAGCATGCCAGGATCTCATGGGAAGTAGAGGATATATGCAAATTATAATTTGAGAAAAGCTTAATAAAATATCTTTTGACAAAATTCAGTCATGTTCAGGAAAACAAACATGGACTCCTGCAGTTCTCCAAGGGTTTTAAGAGCAGAAAATCCTTACTACCACTTAAGACCGAGGCAAACCCGGACCTAGAAAGGACAGCTGTAAGCAGAGAACCTACAGACAGGAGTTATGGGCACTGGCAGGAAGAGGGAGTCAATTTACTGCCTGGCAGAGAAGGAAATGATTTATTTCTCCTTTTGCTCTGCTGCTGGTGCACCTCATTATTCAACCTAACTAGAAGCTACTGGGGTAAGAGAAGCCATTGATGCAGTGTACAAAGGTCAGTTGCTCAGGCCTCAGAACAGGGTAGAAAGGGGCCTAGATTAGTCCTAATGTAGGGGTGGGGAATCTTTTTGCTGAAAACAGCTATTTAGATATTTAATCATCACCTATGGACCAAACTGGTCAAACATTTAATCAAGTCACCTCTAATGTGATATTGGGAGAAAGATGAGTCTTTCTACTGTCTTGGAAACCCACAGGGCCGGCTCTACCCTGTCCTATAGGATGGCGCTCTGAGTCAGATTGACTTGATGGCAGAGAATGAGAATGTGTTGACTTGCACGGCTTCACTTTGGTGAGGCGTGTGATCTTAGTTGGTACTGAGGATCAAGAACCACACATTCCCCACCCGCCGTAATGGGATCAATGAAAAACACCCAACTCAAAAGACTACCATAAATGAAAAGATGGAATATAAAACGCCACCTATCATATTACTTTGTACAGGTAAAAATATTTTGGTTAATTAAATCATAGATAGATAGATGATAGATAGATAGATAGGTAGGTAGATAGATAGATAGATAGATAGATAGATAGATAGATAGATAGATAGATAGATAGATAGATTCTTTGACATAAAGTGGAACTGTGGTAAAATTCTGATTCTCCCATGAATTTGCTTTTTCTCTAGCATCCTCATCTATAAATTGGACATGATAAACGCATTTACCTCACAGGTCAACTGTGAGAATTAAATGAACAACTAGATCTGTGGACGTAGAAGAGTATTTGGCACATTGCCACCACTACCACCAGTTACCATTGAGTTGATGTCAACTCATAGTGACCTCCACATGCATCCGAATATCAAGGACTGATTTTTCAGATGGACATCATTCAACTGTCCTTTCAAGATGCGTCTGGGTGACCTTGAATGTCCAACTCTTTGATAGAACATTAACTATTCGCATCACCCACATATAAAATCTTTTAGTGTTTGCTATTATGATCGTGATGACGTGACTTCAAGAGTCTCTTCATGGATAGACCTGCCTCCTCCATCCCTTTTGTCCAATCCACCTATCATCCTGCCAAAGAAATCTACCTAAAAGGGACAGTTCAACATGTCCCTCTACCTTAAACGTTGTCAGTGTTCTCCAGGCAGTTCAGGGCAATACTCAAGCAGTGTGCCTCACCCTTGCATGAAATTTCCAGTCACAATCCCACTCCAACTATGCCAATTCATTCTTATTCTGTACATATGCCATGCAGTCCCATGTTTCTGGGTCCCTGTGGGGAATGCCTTTACCATACAGTATCACTTCCTTATTTTACTAAGTTTTACTATTCATTAATGAAATTTCAAGAGTCACCTCCCCTGGGACTGTGTTCTGATCCCCAGTCTGCCTTAGAAGCAGCTTCCTTGTTCCTTATCCCACAGGATCCGATAAAGGCAGTGGCACTGATACTCCAGATCAGAGTGGGCCCCTCGAAGGCAGTGAGGATGACTTTTGTGTCTGAACTTTAACAAAGAGCCGAGAAGTTACTAAGAGTAAATACCAGATCATGCTTTGACTGAGTATTGGATCTGTAAATTAACAAATTCAGTAACTGACCCCAAATCACTCAGTTTAGAAAGTGGCAGAGCCAGAATTCACCCCCAACTCTGTTTGACTCCAAAGGCCACTGGTTTCCCAAACATGTGGCAGTTCGAAGGCCACCCCCGACACTCCAGAGTAGCTGCATGCCTTAGGGTATTCCCAAGGGGCACTAGACTAGTTCAAGCCAGAATGAGCTGGTCAGCAGAGACTCAGAGGAATAAAAGCCTCCTTTTTGGGAGTATCAACCACATGACATTTGCTTTATCAAGGGACTTTCCCAAGAAAATCAATTTCTGGAGCATGTTAAAATACAAACAAACCACCACCCACCCACCCACTCCTTAAAGACAATTGGCCCAAAGAAATCTTAGAGAATTTAGACAATTCCATAATGTTGAGAGCACCATCTGATTTTTGTGAACTTTGTTTCCCCGAACCAAGCATTTTTTACTGTTTTATTTTACATTTGGCTCCACTGTGAAATGTGCTTCCCCATTCTATACTGCATCACCCACTGCAAACCTGTGTACATAGCCAAGGATACAATGAAAATTCGTAACATATGTACCATTTAAGATTTGTTCCTGTGGCTTATGATGATGTTACCAGAACCCTTTGAAAACAGTGTTTATATCTATTTATAACTGAAACCTATTTTCCATATAATTGGATGTGACTAAGGTTGAAAAAAATGCAGCTGCACTGGAAAAGTCCTGCTCTTGCAGAGCAGATGTTTGCTCAGCGTGGAAAGTGAATTAGCCTTCAGCACAAATATCCAGAACCACATACATATTCTTTCCCAGAGCACTGACGTTAATGTTTTACGTTGAAGAACAATTTGAAAATAAAGGACATTAAAAATGCAAAGGAGGCAGTCACAACTGGTTTGTAAAATAAGTATTAATTTTACCTCTATGTTGCACAACACTGTGTTCCATCCAACCATTGGATTTTCTCTCCAGTTCAGAGCAGAGAAAAATGATTCATAATCTATTTGTTTTTCACTATCTTCAAACCTGAAAATATAGTTATAGTATATGATTGGACTCAACCTGCAGAACCAAAATATCAGCTTAAATGTTATCATAAAACAGTGCCTAGTACTACCTCACTATCTGATACATTTCTCATTTATTATTTCTAATCTGTTTTGTTAACTTCTGGAATGCAAGAGAATTCACCCACCTATATTCACCAAAGAATCCCAAGCACCTAGATAAATTTTGGCATTCAGTAGATATTTTCAATAAATATTGGTTATAGTTGTACAAAATGGGTACTTATTAAGCAACTAAGATCATCCCTATATTTTATTTAAAATATTTGAGGCTTCCTCTATCAATTTTGTTTCATATACAGGGTCCTGGTGACACAATGGTTACAGTGTTTGGCTGCTAATGGAAAGGTGGACAATTTGAACCCACCAGAGCTCCCAGGGGGAAAAAAATGAGGCAGTCTTCTTTCTTAAAGACTGCAACCTTGGAAATCCGCAGGTGCCGGCGGGGGGTGGGGTGGGGGAGACAGTTCTACTTTGTCCTACAGGGTTGCTATGACTCGGAATGAACTTGATGGCCGTGGACTAATTATTGCTTTGCTTTGTTTTAGTTTAAGATAGTTGATGGATGTTTTATCTGTAAAATAAATTTACTGTCATAAGTTTCACTCTCAGACGTCTCCCTCTGCCCTCTTCTCTGCTGTCCATCCCCCAGGGAGGAGGCTATACTTAGATTCTTGTAATTAGTTCCCCCCTTCTACCCCACATTCCCTTCACCCTCCAGGCCTCACCCCTCTCACCACTGGTCCTGAAGGAGTCATCTGTCCTGGATTCCCTGTGTTTCCAGTTGCTATCTGTACCAATGTACATCCTCTGGTCTAGCCAGATTTGCAAGGCAGAATTGGGATCATGATATTGGGGGGGGGGTGCATTTAAGAACTAGAGGAAAGTTATATGTTTCATCGTTGCTATCCTGCACCCTGATCAGCTCGTCTCCTCCCCAAAACTCCTCAGCAGGGGGGTGTTTAGTTGCCAACTGATGGACTCTGAGTCTCCACTCTGCACTCACTCACCTTTACAATGACATGATTTCTTGTTCCTTGTACATATGTGCTTGACTCAATGGATATATGTATGGCCTGTGATAAGAATTGTACAAGCCCTCAATAAAATAATTTTTTAAAAAGAATTGTACGAGCCCTCAATAAAATAAATTAAAAAAATGTTTTTTTCTAAAAATAAATGAATAAATAAATAAATTTACTGTATACTTCTTAAATAACCTCAAATCATTAAGGCAATCTTAGATTCAGACTCAACCAGAAAACACTCCTAAAGGTCAACAAACAGACCTTGAACTATTTATAGGCTTTTCTTTTGGGGGGCATTGGTTTGTTGTTGTTTTGTTGCTTTGTTTTGCTCTGTCTTGTTTTTGTGCATATTATTACGTCTGCAGGTCTATCTGGATAAGACAGGTGGGCTAAATAATCTGGAGGAGAAAACAATGGGTCTGAAAGTTCTGGGGGGACATCGGAGAGGGAGAGGTGGGGGAAAGGAAGTGGTGTTAACAAACTCAGGGACAAGGGAAGAACAAGTGATCAAAAATCGATGGTGAGAAGGGTATAGGAGGCCTGGTAGGGATTGATCAAAGACAATGTAACCGAGAGGAATTACTGAAATCCAAATGAAGGCTGAGCATGATAGTGGGACAAGAGGAAAGTAAAAGGAAATAGAGGAAATAGCTAAGAGGCAAAGGGCATTTACAGAGGTCTAAATACAGGCATGTACATATGTAAATATATTTATTATGATGATGGGAAAATAGATCTATGTGCATATATTTAAAGGTTTAGTATTAAAGTAGCAGATGGACATTGGGCCTCCACTCAAGTACTCCCTCAATGCAAGAACACTTTGTTCTTTTAACCTGGCTCACCTTCCAGACAAGATGCTGAAGACAAAATGGGTGCATAAGCAAATGTGAAGCAAGCTGATGGTGCCCGACTATCAAAAGATATAGCATCTGAGGTCTTAAAGGCTTGAAGATAAACAAGTGGCCATCTAGCTGAGAAGCAACAAAGTCCACATGGAATAAACTCACCAGCCTGTGTGATCACGAGGTGTCGATGGAATCAGGTATCAGGCATCAGAGAACAAGAAATCATA